ATAAGCAATAAATGAGTGTCCTGATGAACTGAACAAGTTAAATGGATCCGATGACCTGTGAGAATAAAAAGTTAGAGGCCCCGAGGTGGCTTTTTAGGGAGGAGCACTTTGACACTTAAGTCAGTGAGGAAAATGAAGAGATTAGCTAAGCTGAGCTAATGAGGACAAACTTGTTGTAGCCGAGTAAAACTAGAGAGCTAAAAAGTTTAAGAAGGTTAGAGAGCAAGAGAGATAGAATGTTAGAGAGTGGAAGAAGAATGTACATTGGACAGTATGCCCTTAAAAACCCATGGGGAATGCCATTCTTTGACCGAGGTTCTAGGAATTAGTTCCGCATCCCTCGCACAAGAGGTAAAGTGAAGGGTGAGGGAGGCTAGACTTCAGCCGATGTTCACCACGTGTCCCTCTTCATTCGAGGTCTGCAGTGTGCATCATTGTTGACCTCCACGACAAGTGGTCCTGCATCATGTCACAATCCTCCACATCAGTTATGTGAGCAGCTTGGCCATGTGTCCTCGATGTAAGCGTCCATGTGGATATTCATCCAGCCCAGTTCCCACCTCTATAAAATTATATGCTAATTATTTTCTGAAATAATTGATTTATTCTAGTTATCCCCATTTATGTACTTTGGTGATAAGGATTAGGAATGGAATGGGGTGGATTTGGGGCAAATATTCCTTATCTCTAACCCTGACTTTGAAATAAATCCCCATCCTCAATCCACTATAGAGACAGATTCCCGTGAACACCTGAATCTTCAAAATTTTTTAATTAATAGTATTTTTTCAAAAATAAATTTACTTAAAATAAAGATAATTTTTAAAATATAAATAATATTTTAAATATATTTTGATATATATATATATATATATGTGTATATATATAGGGGTGAGCATTATTTGGTTAAAATCGAATAATCGAACTGAAAATTTCGGTTTTGGTTTTTTGGTTTGGCTTTTTCGATTTTTGGTTAAATCGGTCCTGTTTTTCAGTTTTTGGCTATTTCGGTTTTCGGTTTCGGTTTTTGAAATTAGAATTTCGGTTAACCGAACTTTTTATTATTATATGTAATATATAATATATAATATGTAACATATAATATACAATATATTGCATATTTATATATTAATATATAATATACTGAAATTTGATTTCATAATATATATTTTATAATATATAATATATAATATGTATTATAATATATATAATAGAGTATATATTATTAAAATTCGGTTTTAATTGAAATAACCGAAAACCAAACCGAAAAATTCGGTTTTTCCCCATCCCCGTCTCTGCCCCACTAAAGCAATCCCCATCTTTGATCCCATCAGGTTGAGGAAGCTGGATACCTAACGGGGATGAGAAAAATTGCCATCCCTAATAGGGATCATATTGGTTTTAACCTCTCTAAACACCAAAAAATTTATATGTATGGATGTTGTATGTAATTTAACAAATTACTCTCTAAAGTTAGCAAGTCAGCACAAAATAAGGCATGAAGATGAGCACAATGACCTTAAATAGTTCGGGTTAGAGGCTGGATTGTGGATACATGTATCAAGATTATAACAGGCTTAGAACTACAAGTTATATGTTCTTGGATAGGGCTGCAACTGAATCAAGCTCTAATTAAATAGTTCAGCCTTGAGTTCAATTAGGCTTGATTTAAATTCAATTCTAATCAAGCTCGAATCAAGTTTAAACCATAGGGTAAGCTTGATTAGTTATTCTAATTTGAGCTTAATCAATAAAAAGTTCATGAACTTGGTTTTATTAACACACGCACATACACATACGTATATATGATAGAATGTAAAAATATATTTTATAATATTATTATAAAATTATAATTTTATATTCTATATATAATATCAGAATATCCTATATATTGTAAAAAATATATCATATATATTTATAAAATATAAAAATATCCGCACTGTAATTTGATGCACTGGGATTGGGTTTGGGCTTGGGCCGAGCTCAGGTTAGTCAATGAACCCACTCTAAAAGTATACATGTATGCATATATTTATGCAAATATGTATACATATATGTATCCCATATATGTAAATATGTATAAAAAATTTACATATATATATATATATATATGTATGTATGTATGTATGTATGTATGAATGTGTATAATTGGACCGAGTTCGAACTACCTAAGGACTAGGCCCGAGCCCTACCCGAAAAACAAAAAAAATGCCCAAATTATATGTATGGATGTGCCATGGACAACTCGTCACACAGTTAGGTTAGATACCAATCAATGATGTAGTAATCCATCGGATTGAACCATTTGACTCAACTAGTGGATCAAAGGTTAGATATTAAATTATTTTTTTTTTTGCATTTTTAGTCATTTACATCCTTAATAACAATAATGTTCATTTATTACGCCTATTTTTGTTTAATATAATGAATTATATAATATTAGAGATATAATCAATTTTAATCAAATATGTAAAATATTTTGGTTAGGAATGAATGCCAAATTATTTGATTTATTTATTTTTAATATTATTGGAAATCTAATTTTATATTTTATAAATTTTCTATTCAACCCAGATCTTTTCTTGACAATGTACTCTCCAGACCCACTTCAATGGTGAACTAACCAAAACAAAAATTGCTCAAATCATTTAAAATGAAATATCTGTGCAGAACAGTGACTATCCAAAAAGCTTGTGAGATGTAAGAAATGAAGTGCTCTTTAATAGAGTGGCTCCAGATCCACAGCAGATCTTTACTATCCTCTCAATGACGACAGTCCATCTCATAATGCAGCACCAAGTAATGAGGAAGTCTCCTCCTGGTATTGTAACAATTCCCATACCTTTGTTCTAGTGGATGGTTTATGGCATAGTGAATCCATACTGCTTCTACGACCCTTTCTCTTTTTTCGCATCTAACATCTAACATAATTGGAGAAGGAGAACTTTGCATCAAGGTTTACGCCGGTAGAGGCGAACTGATCAGAACTCCGATACACCCTCTGTAAGGGCGTATTAAAAAGCCACTGGCACAATACGTATCTACCCATCGATACTTTAAACCTTGCTTTGCATGACCACAACAGCAGCTGAATCTAAAGCCTGGGAAATTATCAGAGGTCTGAGAAAAATGCCATCCTCTTTTCAGATGCAATGCAGGTCCTATCTATGCTGAAGGGAACCTCGGGAAACATCAGCTGGCGAATGCTACCATTAGTTGAACATATCAAGTATTTAGCTACTTTTTTTTGTTAATATTAAGTTAGTGTATGTACATAGAGCAGCAGTTGTTATAGCTCATGTAATGGCTAAAAAAGCCAAGAACTCTAAATCTTTTGTTTCTTTTGAAAATCCCCCTCCATTTCTACTAAATCAGTTATCACATTGTAGGAGGGGTGAAATTATGTATTGCTACTGTGGGTTTTTTTTCAAACTAAACCGGTATTTCGAATTTTGTAAGATCCCAAACCGAAACCAAATTGGACCATTCGGTTAATCAATTGACTGATTTGTTTTTTTATATTTATAATATATTATAAATAAACATATAAATATATAATATATAATTTATTATAAATACTGAACTGATGAATTCGGTTTCCTCAGTTCTAGTTGTTTTTTCAGCCTTTCGATTTTTGTTGACCAGCCGTATTTGATAAACCAGCAAGAGACTTTAGCACAATGATATTTGGTACTCTAAAATTTACACTTTTTTTTTTTAATTTGAAAAAAATAATATTTATACAGGGCGTTATACATCGATTTCACAAGCACATCTAACTATGCATTGGAAACATTTCCCGGGGGAGGGCATGAGCCCTGACCCCTCAAAAAAAGCCGAATACAAGGAGAAAGACTTTGTATCCAATGTCAAAACACTCTGAAACCTACAGAGTCTTGTTTCCAAGCCTTCTTATTCTAACAGTAGCAGATCCGAAAAGATTTATGAGAAGAAATCTTTAAAAAAAAAAGGAAAAAGAAAGAAAGAAAAAGCGAAGAATAAGTGTGGAAAATTATTTATTTATTCACCTAACAATAATAAACTGTCTCGAAAGACCGCGCCATCTCTCCCTCAAGCTCACACATGAGCATATGGGTCACTGTTGTTCTCTACAAAACATATTCCTGTTGCAGTCATCATTACACTTCGCTTTTGCGTGCAAAACCTTAAAACCTTTCCTCGTGCTAATGCGCAGACCCCCTCTCCACACTCCCCCTGCCTACACCAATTCAGGCAACCACACCCAGTTTTGGCCACCGGTCCTGTGTTCTGGAAGCCACGAGAGAGAGAGAGAGAGAGAGAGAGAGCAGAGAATGTCTACCTCCGTGTTTGATAACCTGTCGGGACCGAGTCCAACCACCTTACCGTGCTCTAGTTTTCATTTCACTTTCAATGGACAGAAAAAGAAGAGCAGGTGAATGAGTTCAATATCAACCAATAATACCATCTCAAGGCCAGCCTAGTATATTTTTTGTCAGCGCGATGCCTATCTCCATCCCATAGAAAACAATTAATTACAATAAAAAAATTATATATAGAGGCTGTTAGTTGTTTATCTTCTCCAAGAAACATAGAGGACTGGAGGGTGTCCACACACACCAACACGCCCAACAAGATCATGATGAGATCACGAAACAAAACGAAACAGAAAAAGGGAACTGTGTCAGTTTGCTCCAAACATTTATAGCTCTGTGACTGTGAGGTCTGTTAATTGTTTGCTTAACAAATTGCTCCTTTTCTGTGCTCACGTTCATGAGTTGACTGACTCGGCTCATATCTGGGTTTCTGCTGGGTCGCCTGAAGAAAACGAAGTCAATCACAAATTGATCATCGCCTATTCCCGTTAGCCATGCCCCACAATCTAGACCGAGCGAACTCATGACCGTTCAAAAGAATGTGATCGACCCGATTGATGATCGCGCACGTTCTAATTAAAAATTCCAACTGAAATAAGAAATTGAAGAACGGTTTCAGATTTGTGAATTGTTGGTTCCCTCAGCCTCACTAGACTCTCCATTCCCTCGTTTTTAATGAGAAGTTTTAACCGCAAATACAGGTGTCCAATCCCATGTAGTGGAGCAGTTTTTGGAAGAGAACCGTCCTTCTCTCTCCCTCCCCAACCCCAAGTTTCTTTCTTCTTTTCAAAACCCACCACCACCACTCTTCCTCAACGTAAAACTACTGTGTTCAGTGGTGGTTTAGTTGCTCTCTGCTCTTCTTTCTTTCAGTCTCAAATAGAAGGTTCAGTAAATACAAGAGATGTAAGTCCTCAGAAATCAAGATTATGTGCTAAACAGCTAGCACATATTAGGTGGGTTTCTCTCTCCCTCTCTGTCTTCTTCTTCATCTTTACTGTACACTACCTTTAAACCAAGAAACCTGATCAAATTTAAGTTTGAACACTAGTTCCACCATCTCTTGCTCAAGACTGACCTTGAATTTGATGATCAGAAAGAGTTCACAAGGTGCGTGACCATTTTCGACATGTTTGACATTCTGTTTGGATGGAAAAAAGCTTCTAAATGGTAACCAATACATTGATATTCTTGCTATATCGTTATTACTGTTCGCTAATTAACCCAGTATTGATGGACTGAAATTGGATATTTTAATCACTTCTGTTTTTACTCTATGCAGCAAGAAACTGATCAGGAATGTCCAGTGTCGTCTGAAGCTCCTGAAGAACAAGAGAGGCTCTATTATAAGGCAATTACGTGAGGATATTGCTCAACTCCTCAAGAATGGCCAACACCAGAGTGCCTTCACCAGGGTATGGTTCATTTATTTTCAGAACCACTGACGACTCTGTAACTTACTTAATTCTTCTGTACTTTCATCATGATCACCCTCTCTTGAATCTTTGTTTTGATTATATTAAGGTTGGAATTAGCGAGTAAATAAGAAAATGGGTTCAAGTGGCAATCCATTAACCTTCCTTTGTGCTCTGTTCTCAGATACCGATGACCTCTACTTTGTTTCTGATTAGGTTACTTTTGCTTTCTAATCTACGTCATGAAATATGTTTGACCTAATAATTATCAGAATTAATCAAATTATATCACCTGTACCTGATGACTTCCTTCTGGGGTGACCTGCTTGCCACTGACCACCTGGCTTATACTCCACATAAACCCTGTGTAAGGATAAAGCCAGAGATGTAGCACATGGAGCACTGTTTGAATCTCTTCAGCAAATTCTAAATACCCCCTAAATTAATGATTCTACTGCTCTTGACAGAGAGCACATGACTTCTTTTAGAAAGCTAAAATTGATTGCAGTCAACACGATGGTGGTAAAGAACTGAAATCCTGGTCAAACCATAGTATTGGAGAAGAGAAATTTTAGGCTTAAAATCATCATCGTCTAAGCCTTGTCCCAAGTCCCAACTATATGGGGTTGGCTACATGAATCCTGGTTGTCATTCATATCTGTTGTTCTATAAATTATGGGCGATTAAATCATTTTTTATTACTTCCACCAAAGTCTTCCCCCTATCTCTTCTAGCCCCTTCAACTTTTAGGCTGAAATGGGAGGCAAATTTTTTCATATGGAATGCTTTAGCTATTATTTCCATCCTTTTGTAGTGAAAGCTTTGTTTTTGCCTCTTCTAATTTGTTTTGATGTGAATTGAAAGAAAAACAAAGTTTTCCATTGCAAAAGGGGAGAAGATAGCGCACATACTTTTAGCTTGAAAAACTTTCTGTCCATTTTATATTGAAACTGGGTTATCTTTGTTGTATACTTGTGTACAACAATTGTATTATTTCCCTGTCAATATTGTTCAAGGGTTGCTGATTCTCTTAATGCTGTTATTCTAGTCTCTCACATCCTCTCCAGCCATGTTATTTTGGTTGATCCATCATTATCTGCAAATGCTAGCAGAATTTGAAATCTATGCTTTACTGAGTTTTATCTTTCTTTATATAATAGGTGGAGCAACTCTACAAGGACCAAAACATACTGGCTGTCTATGATCTCTTGGACCATTTTTGTGAATTTATCATCATCCACATGCCCTATATACGCAAGCACAGGTACCTCTCTCTCTCTCTCTCTCTCTCTCTCCTCTCTCTCTCTCTATCTATCTATCTATCTATCTATCTATCTATCTATCTATCTATCTATCTATCTACCTACTAGGAATTTATCTTTCAATTCGGTGTTCCAGGGACTGCCCTAATGACATTAATGAAGCAGTGTCAAGTCTGGTATTTTCTGCCCCAAGGTGTGGGGATCTCCCTGAGCTGCAAATGCTTCGAAGATTGTTTGGAGAGCATTATGGGCAGAAGTTTGCAACGACTGCAGTTGAATTATTACCTGGAAATCTTGTAAACCATCAGGTTTTTCACTGCCCCTTCTTATTAAGCTAGTGGAGTTGTCTATTTTTCCTGTTTTATTTTCCATGGTGATTTCTCTGGAGTTTGACTAACGCCAATTTCACTAAAAAAAATAGATAAGTGAGAAGTTCTGCATGAAGTCAATTCCAGATGATGTGAAATACAAACTGATAGACGAAATAGCTAGAGATTACTGCCTTCAACTCAATCCTGAGGGAATTGTCAACATGTTTGACTTGCCAAACCAACAGGTAGGTTCATGCTGTAAATGGCTTATCTTTCTCTTAATTTACCAATAACAACTTATTGATGTCTCCTTCATTGAATCATTGATGAAGTCTTTAGTACCACTGAGCTGCAGGTATATGATCATTCCATGGGAAATAGTTGTAATCAGCGGGAAGGTCATAGTTTTGACAGGGACATACAGTTTAATTGCAACAGCCTCAAAGAAGCCCAGATGCAAGCTTCAAACGATAAAAAGATTCAAGTAAATTCAACATCAGTTGTTGATATCGCTATGAAAGAACCTGCTTTGGATATAATTGAGGCCCATAACTCCACTGCTGTCCATAAAACTGCAGCCAAAGTAGAGAATCACAGGAAATTGGATCCATTACCTGGACCTGAAATGACCCCAAATAGGTTTTCTTCCCAGACCAGCTCAGGCAGGCTTTCTATGGCCTATAAGCAACATAAGGTTGATACATTTACAACGAGGAATGCATCAGAAAACTCATATCAGACCCGTGAGAGAAGTATTTTTTGTCTTGATGATGTAGAGGAATTCCAACCCACCACCCAAGATGGAAAATGCAAGGACCAGAGACTATTTATCTTTAAGTCAATCAGCCCTCCTGATCCTGGGCAAGAAAACTGTGGAGCTAGTGATGGTTTCACTGAAGAACACAAAGGGATTTGCGAATCAGGGGATGACAGGGCAAGCTCCAGAAACTCTAGCAAGAGGAGGAATTCAACCAGAAAAAAGTTGAAAAGGAGATCTGCTAACCACGAGACTGAAATGTATGATTTATCAATACCTGTCACCTTGAGCATGAAAGACATTGAATGCGAAGTATACTATGGTGATGATTATGACCTTCTACCAAATGGAGACCTTTGTAGACCTCGCCACATGAGGAAGCATCAGCACAAAATGCCAACTGAGAAACGTCGGAATTCCACTTCTAAAATACAGGAGAAATTTTTGTCACATCAACCAAATAATGCACACGGGAAACCATATGAACTGTTCTTTGAGGGAGGGAAATATTTATCTCAGAGATATATTTGTGACCAGAGGAGGTCATACAGTGGCTGTTGTGTCAATGACGATATGGTTATTCCTTGCAGCTTGGAACACCCATGTTACTTTCTCACTAGTGATGATAAAGATGAGTGGGAAAGTCCAAGTTGGAAGCAAAAGAGAGGGATCAAAAGATTGGAAGGGTTTCCAATTGGTAACTTTCGACAAAAAGAATGGCAAGAAGATAGCTACCATCATTTCTGTTTGCCTTTTCCAGATGAAGAAGCAGTAGACAGCAATGCCACCATGAACCACAATACTTTTAGGCAGGCAACAGTCAATAAAACCAAAAGCAACATCAAGGAAGTCCATGAAATGGACTGTGCTTCTGAAAGAGATCACCAAAATAGACATTTTATGCATGATTTTGCAGCCTCCAGAAACCACAGTCCAAGTGGAAAGACAGAGGGAACAAAAGTAGTATCAGATTATCAGGGCAGCCTTACTACTTCTCAGGACTGTAGTCCAACAAACCTGTGGAGAAAAACAGTGAGACAGCCACCTTATTTTAGGACCATGACAATGCCACCCGAACGGCCTAAACCCATGTCAACTGATTACATTCTGAGGTCTTCTTCCTGTCAGTTTCAGCTAGCAAATCCTTCAAGCAGCAGCTCTTCTTCCTCTTCCTCAAGCCATGTGCACCCGAAGCTCCCAGACTATGATGACTTGGCAGCCAAGTTCACGGCTCTCAAGAAAGAATATATGCAAACTAAACAAGCCAAATTAGCGACAGCTTGAGAAGAGCACCGAACCTTCTGCATTACAGTCACTGACAGTTGCTCGGCCTGTAGATAGAATTAATATTATCATACTTGGTCGGTGTCACTGTTATGCCAAGGTGATAGTAACTAGTACCTGAATTTCTTTAGTTTCATTTTTCACGCTTTTTTAGGTGAAAAGTTTTCCATTTAATTTAGCCGTTGTATAGAATTTATAGTTTCTCTCAACTAGTAGAACATTTTGTTCATTATGGCGCTGTGGACTTGTGTACAATTGACAATGGTTATCTGCATTTTCTGCACCAGTTTTGCTCTGTTGATTTGTGCAATAAAACTTCCCAGTTTTTCGTGTTTTTTCCCTGTTTGTGTGTGCATTGGACAAGTTTTGGCTTCAGTTGGTTGCTTGGTTTAGGAGTAATAGTAGAACCTGTCTCCAATCTCCATCAAATGTTTAGGCTGTCTGCCTCTTGGCTCTTCGTATGTGAGAATTGAGATGGTTCTACTCGACATAGCTGTCAATGAGTAACGTCTACCTGACAGATCCAAACCACCAATCCGGTTATGTCAGTGGCGTGCTGTCGTAGGCACCCAAAAGTAAAACCTATACTCGTAAAAATAAAATGCAGTAATGCGAGTAAGGATCATTTCCACGAAGAGTATCTAACATAAATTATGTGCTATGTGAATCAAAGATGAAGGGGGGTGTATGTAACAAAAACCAGAATTAAAAAAAAGAAAATCAGAATTAAAAAGAACAAAATTTAAATGGGAAGCAAGGCAATTTAGAGTGCTGAAACTAACCAAAAGAACGGATCTTGGTCTAGGATAACATCCACCATCAGAATTTCACTACTGTTCATCGATGCAAAAATAAATCAATTCAGACTTCGAATATTCATCGTAGGAATTATTTTCCTGCATCTCCCTATCATAGTTAATCAGAAAACAAGCGATCGTCTTAACCCTTACTACTAAACAACCCCTAAACAAGCATTAAAGATTTAATCCAGCAATAGCCTTAAGCATTAGAGATCGGTGAAGCTAAACAACACAAGCATAAGCAGTTGCATTTAATTCAGTCGAGTGTTCTTCTTAGGATCTAACGATTTCCGACGCAACAAATCATTAAACTCTAGTTGCTTCGTAGATTAGAGGGATCAAACAATTACGGATTTGATATCTAATCTAGCAATAGATTGTAACGAATAATAAACTACTAGGCCTCCTAGAAATCAAACGAAACAATCATGGACATAAACATAGAAGAACATTCGATATTCAAAGCATGAATCAAACAATAAAAATCAAATTAGATCTCACAGTTTGGTGAATTCTGAGGCTTCTGCTTCTTTTGACCAAGTATGAGAGTTTAGCCACGCATGGTCATGGTGAAAACTCAAGAAAATCAGAGAAAAAGGAAGAGAGGAGAAGAGAAGAGAAGAGAGGTCCGGCTGCCCCTTTTTTCTGATTGTCTTCTTGATTTTCTTTTTTTTTTCTCTTCTTTTATTTCTTTCTACTTTCCCCAAAAAAAGCCTACAAAATCTCCTAAAATTTCTCTAGGTAATCAATCTCCAAGTCTAACTTATCAAAAAAAGACTCAAAAATAAGATAAAACAAAGTTCTTGTGTGAGTGGGAGAGGGGTGAATTCGCGGATGAAAGTTTCAAGGCTAAGGAATGCCATCAACACGTCACCAGTGCAGTTGCAGAGAATTCGGGCCCGATTTTGTCCTTGATGCAGCCCGAATCTATCAAAACTCAAAACACGAAAGTTATAAATTTTTTCCTTATCCTTTCAATGCATCTTGAATCATCTCAATCGGAGTCCGAATGTGAGAGTTATGCTCAATCTACCACACGGCGCCAAAACTGTGTAAAATTACGCGATTAGACTTATTTTTCACTTAATGCCTCCTTCCGTGCCCTAAACCAAAATATAAGAATAATGAGTGCATTTGGGAATAAAATAAATATAAAAGACTAAATATTAAGGGAGAAAAATATGATATTTTTTGTTCTCATCAAATCCCCCCACACTTAGACATTGCCCGTCCTTAGGCAAGACAGAACTTAAGCAAACTAAGCAAACTATTCTACCAAATTTTAAACTCAATCTTCCTTCATCTTTTCCATAAATATTCTAGGTTAATTATTGTAAACCGTTAAATCAACACGGCCAAGTTATGAACGACTCATTCATCAACCAATCCAATTTTTTTACTACAACAAACCAGGTAGTAAACTAGGGAAAACAATTTTTTTATCTCCTCTTTTTTTATTTTTTTTCTCTTCTTGGTGGTAGTGAGTGCATTTTATGCTTCATCTCACTTTTAGGACTTTGTTAGTGGGTGCATTTTATGCTCCATCCCACTATTGAATTGATTGGTTGGTAGGAGCATTTTATGCTCTATCCTACCATTGAATTGCTTGGTTGGTAGGTGCATTTTATGCTCCGTCCTCCAAATTGAATTGCTTGGTAAAATATTTACCTTATTTACTTAAACCTGGATTTAGGACTAGCTTAAAAAAGGGATGGCTTCAGGTGTATCCTGTATTCCCTAATCACATTTCTTTAATAAGTTCACAAGAATTGTCCCAGAACACTGTTTGATTCCAAAAGAGTTGAGTTTTTTTTTTTTTTTGGAACATATGCAAAAAAACACAACCTAAATCAAAATTTAAAACGCAACCTAATTTCTAACCTAAATCCCCTCCCCCATACTTAAAACTTACATTGTCTCCAATGTAAGGTAAAATGCAAAGAAAATGTGGAAATAACTAAACTATAAATGCAAAAACAAGAAGAAAAGAAAAAGCAAACTTCCTTGCTTTTAATCAGCATAAATCGGATCCTCTAGCTCTTCTGGTTGCAACTTCTAGTGCTTTCCCCTTCCATCCATCATGGGTGGGTTCAGCCTTCTTTGTGGTTGACAGGAAGGATTTGCTTCCTCTTTAAGTAAGAGGCGATGCATGCATGTAGACGGGCTGCTTCCTTTGATATCCACAATCGTCCAATCGATAGTCGTCTTATGCTCCTTGAGAACCTACACAAGATGCTCTTCTTGTGGTGCGCTAAGGCTACTAGAGATGATCACCGGTAATGTCTCTCTATCTCCAAGGAATACATGCTTGAGGTGATTAGGGAGAGGCTTCAATTCTAGAACGAGGGCCTGCAAAACAGAGGGTAAAGGTCTCCTGTCAGAAATCGACAATATAACATAAGGAGCATTACCTGACTGTTGTAACTCTGGAGAATCATCCAATGCTGCAACAGTTTCCTGCAAATCAGCATTCAGCATTGGCTCATCTTTCTCAAAATGGTCTTCCTAGTAAAATAGGAGTGGTTTGATCACCATTATCCATATTAAGCACATAAAAATCAGCAGGAAAAACTAAATCATTTACTTTCACAAGAACATCCTCAACTACACCCCTTAGGATAGGCATTAAATCTATCAGCTAATTGAATCACAACACCAGTTTTATTTAAAGGTCCAAGTTTCAAAGAAGAATATATAGAATATGACATGACATTGATAGAAGCTCCTAAGTCTAACATGGCCTTCTCAATTCTAGTGTTACCTATCATGCAAGGGATAGTGAACATACCTGGATCTTCGCACTTTGTAGGGAGTTTTTTAATGACTGCAGAAACATTCTCCCTTACTCTCACCTTCTCACATCCTTTCAGTTTCTGTTTCCTTTTATATGTACACAATTCTTTCAGGAATTTAGCATAATGAGGTACTTGTTTAAGAGCATTAAAGAGTGGAATGTTTACCTCGCATCTATAAAAAGTTTCATAAAAATCATTGAACTGCTCATCTTTCCTAGAAACTGCTAAAGCATTGGGAAAAGGAGGTACCGGTTTATAATCAGAAAGAGGCGGAAACTTACGCTTAGGTACTTCATCACCTTCAGGAGTGATGTCTTTATCCTTTTCTTGGTTCAACAATGCGGGGGTTGCCCTTGCTGGTGCCTCAACCTCTTTACCGCTTCTCAAAATGATCGCACTTGCATTTTCTTTTGGATTCACAACCGTTTGAGAGGGTAATTTCCTCAAACTTTGCGCCTCTAACCGACCATATGCCATCGCTATCTGGCCCATCTAATTATCCAAACGTTGGATACTGGCCCTCGTCTCCTATTGAAATTGCAAAGTGTTAGTGGCAAGAGATTTGACAATATCCTCTAAAGACATACCTAAATTTGAAGTTTGGGCTGGCTGTTGTCTAGGGTGGTGCGACTGATATTGCTGGAAAGTCGGATGATATTGAGGATTACCATAGCTGAGATTGGGGTGATTCCTCCATCCCGGATTATACATGCTTGAATAGGGATCATATTTCCTTTGTGGTTTCCCTGGAAAACCACCTACCGCATTTACTTGCTCAATGGGCTCCTCTTGAAGAGTTGGGCACATATCAGTTGAATGCCCTACTACCAAACATATCCCACAAGCATTCACCATTTGCATGTTATCTATAGCCACTTGACGGAAAAGAGAGGTTAGACTCACAATTTTTTGTTCAAGGGAAGAGATATTTACCTCACTAGCATGCTTTGACGGAGGGTTAAGCCTATAGCCGAATTGTTGGGAATTGGTCTCCATATTTGCAATTAGGTTTCTTGCGACCTTGGGAGTTTTATCTACTAAAGCTCCTCCTCTAGCAACATCAATCATGCTCCTATCAGTGGGTTGAAGACCCTCATAGAAATACTGGATAAGTAGCTACTCGCTGATTTGATGTGAGGGCAGCTTGCACATAATTTCTTAAAATGTTCCTAATATTCATGTAAGGACTCCCCGTTGTATCGCCTTATACTGCAAATTTATTTTCTGATGTTGGCCGCCCTTGAAGCTGGGAAGTACTTCTCTAAAAACAGCCTTTTCATCTCGTTCCATGTGTTAACACTCCTGGAGGGTAGATAATAGAGCCAATCCTTAGCCGAATCCTTTAGAGAAAGCAGAAAGGCTCTCAATTTAATTTGTTCTTTAGTTACTCCCATGGGTTTCATACTCGTGCATACCACATGCAGCTCCTTTAAATGCTTGTGAGGATCCTCACCTGCAAGACCGTGAAAAGTGGGCAAGAGATGTATCAATCCAGATTTCAATTCAAAATTAGCATCAACATCTGAAGCAGGAAAAGTTATGCATAAGGGTTGCTGATTCAAATCAGGTGCGGCAAGCTCTTTCAAGGTTCGGTTTCCAGCCGTGATGTCCTCTTCTCTCAAATCAGAACCACTAACAAATAGGGAATCAATAGCTAGATCATTCTCTTTGGAACGACTCCGAGCTTCCCTCCTTAACCTGCG